CGTACTCCACAGATTTATATGTGTGTCCTTGAGTCAGTCATTCCTGCTGTCCAGGCAATGTAAAAACAGCAGTTAAAGGTTGTTTTGCTACATTAGAAAAAATTCTCAGTGGCACAGGAGCCTGTTTGGCTGTGGGTAGTCATGGAGCTGAGCACACCCAGGGTGAGCCTGGAGAATCAAAATATAAAGGAAACAGCAAAGATCCTCAATTGGTTTTGGCATTTGTACTTTGTGTTGTTGGCAGACTCCTCTGTGATGGGTTTTATTCCATAGTTCTTCCATTTTAGTTTGGCTTTTTCTTTGGTGAGTTTTGGTGTTTTTGTGGGGGTATTTCTGCAATGTTGAGAGGGACTTTTGCATTTTTAGTGTTTCTCTTATGTAACATGACTTTTCTTGCTTGTGTTATGGCATGCTTTTTCATTGTGCTGTTATCTTGGCATTTTTTGTGCATTTTTGGCTTTTTTTGTGAAATCAGTTTGTAATTTTTTTTTTTTTATTTTTTTTTATTTTTTACTTCTAGTTTGTCCTCTGCAGTTTTGCAAATTATATAGATTTTTAGATTTTTCACATTTGTTTTCATTTGGACTTTTTTGGGGTGGAGCTTTTCTGCTGAAATTCTAGAAGGGAGGGTTTACTATTATTTGTACTTAATTTCCTGAATTTTGGAACTTATATTTCTTATTGCATTTTCCTTTCCTGTTTAAAGATATTAGAAATCTTTTCCCCTTTTAGTTATATATATATAATATATATATATGGATTTGATTTAGCATTTAATAGTATTTTTCATTATTTGACAGATTTGGTGGTGGTTTGGAGCATCTTTAGCATGTTTTCAGCATTTTGATAGTTTTCTTCTTTGACATTTGCTGTCATTTTTGAGGAATTTGCTAGTGGATTTGGAACTTCTTGATATTGTTTTGGTGGGGTTTTAGTTTTTTCTCTTTTTTTCATCTTTTATGTGTTACTTTTACCATTTCAGGGTATATTTCATCAATCTGGGCTATTTTTTGTCAGTTTTTTTTACCTGCCATGTCTTTGCCATCTTGGCAGTGCAGATGATAATTATTTGGGAGACAGTACTGAAGGCCCCTGTGAGGCAGCACTGTGGGGCCACTTCTCTGGGACTGGCCAACACCCCTTCTGCAGTTCAGCCTTTGGAGAGGAACTAAAACCAACTGTCATGCAAGTAAGTGATGCTGGATTCTTTTCTGACACAAAAAAATAACATGAACGGAACCTGTATGCAATTCCTTTTAAACCCCTCAAAAAGGTGCCTTGAAATCTGAGAGCATCCCAGCCCTATTAAGTGCTTTTGGAAGGCTCTGGAGCACACACAGCCTGTGGGAAGTAAAACATTCTTCTGGGCTCAAAGGTGTCTCATCTCATCACAAATCTATGGGCCCAGATGGGATCCATCCTAGGGTGATGAGAGAGATGGCACATGAGCTTGTGAAGCCTCTCTCCATCATTTATGGACAGTCTTGGCTCACTGGGGAGGTTCCAGATGACTGGAACCCATTCACAAAAAGGGTGGAAGGAGGATCCTGGTAATTACAGACCAGTCAGCCTGACCTCAGTACCTGGTAAGGTAAAGGAACAGTTTATACTGAGTGCCAGCATGCAGCACTTACAGGATGGCCAGGGTATCAGACCAAGCCAGCATGGGTTTAGGAGGGGTAGGTCATGTTTGACCAACCTTTTATGACCAGGTGACCCGCCTGGTGGATGCAGGAAAGGCTGTGGATGTTGGCTATTTGGACTTCAGCAAGGCCTTTGACACTGTCTCTCACAGCACACTCCTGGAAAAGCTGGCAGCCCATGGCTTGGACAGGAGCACTCCTTGCTGGGTTAGGAAGTGGCTGGATGGCCAGAGAGTGGTGATGAATGGTGCTGCATCCAGCTGGCAGCCAGTCACCAATGGTGTCCCTCAGGGGTCTGTGCTGGGGCCAGTTCTGTTCAATATTTTTATTGATGACATGGATGAGGGCATTGAGTCCTTCATTAGTAAATTTGCAGATGACACTAAGCTGGGAGAGCGTGTTGATGTGTTGGAAGGCAGGAGGGCTCTGCAGAGAGACCAGTAATGGTTGGATGGATGGCAGAGTCTGATGGGATAAAGTTTAATAAGTCCAAGTGCTGGGTCCTGCATTTTGGCCACAATAATCCCCTGCAGTGCTACAGGCTGGGGATGGTGTGGCTGGACAGTGCCCAGGCAGAAAGGGACCTGGGGGTGCTGGTGACAGCAGCTGAACACGGGCCAGCAGTGCCCTGGTGGCCAAGAAGGCCAATGGCCCCTGGCCTGGATCAGGAATGGTGTGGCCAGCAGGAGCAGGGAGATCATTCTCCCCCTGTACTCGGCACTGGTGAGGCTGAACCTCGAGTGCTGAGTCCAGTTCTGGGCCCCTCAGTTTGGGAAGGACATTGAGACACTTCAGCGTGTCCAGAGGAGGCAGCGAGGCTGGTGAGGGGCTGGGAACACAAACCCTGTGAGGAAAGGCTGAGGGAGCTGGGGGTGTTTAGCCTGGAGAAAAGGAGACTCAGAGGTGACCTTACCACTCTCTACAACTTCCTGAAAGGTGTTTGTACTATTGTGGGGGTCAGACTTTTCCCCCAGGAAACAACTGACAGAACCAGAGGACACAATCCTAAACTGCACCAAGGGAACTTTGGGTTAGATGTTAGAAAGAAATTCTTCACTGAAAGAGTGATTGTGAGCTGGAATTGCCTGCCCAGGGAGGTGGTGGAGTCACTATCCCTGGATGTTTTTAAAGAAAGACTGGACATGGCACTCAGTGCCATGGTTTAGTTGTTGAGGTGTTAGGTCATAGGTTGGACTAAATGATCTTAAAAGGTCTTTTCCAACCTAGCTCATTCTGTGATTCATCTCTCATGTGGCTCTCAGAAGATGTTTTTTCTCTCTACCCTCTCTCAGCCACAGTGTCCTGCCTGAGTGCCTAAAATGCTTGGAAATGCTTGGAAAAATTCTGTGGAGTGTCTGCAACAGTCACACAATGAGTACTGACACTTCTGGCATGAATTTCTCAAGCCACAGGAGGAGTTTTGCCCCTGTAAAAGTGCCTGCTTTTAGTCTGTCTTGTCCCATAGACACTAGAGGAGCTGCACTGATGTGCTCTCATGCATGACATCCATTTGGCTGGGAGGCTCCCTGGGACTGTACAGCTCCTGTGGAAACCAGAGGTTTTTACAGGAAAGCTTTGTCTGTCGGGCTGATAATAGCTTTTACAATTTGTGCTGCAGCGCTGCCCAGAGGGTCATAATCTGACAGGGCACTCTGTGCCAGGCAGTGCTCAGGCACGGTGGAGATACATTTACAATTAAATTAAGCTGGTTAAAGATGGGAACCTCTCTTGCATGCACAGCAGAGAGAAGGGTTCTCCGAAACCAGCTGGGATTGCCCATTTCTCTTACCCATTAGCCCAATTTTCAGTATCAATGCACAAATGGTCACAAGAGAGGAGGACTTGAGACCCAAGGTGGGGATGACTCTGTCATTTGAGTGTGAAGTTCAAGCAGCACAGATGTGAAATGCTTTAGGATCCCAAACCAAGGGCCTGATCTTGAATGTAAACCTGCCCAATAGGAGGTGGGAAGTATACTGAAGGTCCATGGAGCTCAATATTTGAGCCCTCTTGGTGAAGAAATCCATCTGCACCATCTGGATAGGGTCTGTCTGCACTGTCCCCTGCCACAGATCCCAGTGGCCATCAGCCCCCTCGCTGTGAGGGATTGTGGCAAGTGTGAACTCTGATGCCCTGAAGGGACAGTCCTTGATGTCCAAGCTGCATTTCCAGTGGGATGGCAGAATGCAGCCTGAGTTTCCAAATCTTAATTAAATGCCCAGTGAACTAGAACCACACAATAGCAGCTGAGGATGATGCAGGTTTATTCTCTTTTTTGTTTAGCTATCTAAATGACAGATAGGAGCTGCAATTCTCTAAGGGCATGTGGTAACTAAATGACAACGTGAGACATCCTTCTGTTGCAGAACAGTTGTCCACAAAAACTCACCCACGACTTCACCGATTGTTTTGGAGAGCTAGATGAACACATAATAATTCATTAATAACATGAAATCATAGTTAGAATCCTTTATGACCCACTGAGTTTAACCACTGGGTGTTGCATTCATGCCCTAGCAATTTATTTAATAATGTTTTCCCACCTTGAAGCTCACTGTATCATCTCAAATCATCTGTTTGATATGGTTGTTTCAATCGCTCAGCGTCTCTTGGTGTAATTTAACATTTTCATTAGATCAGTAAAAGAAAGAATTTAAGGATTTTTGTGTTTCAAAAGCTTGATGTGTATCATGGTGGGAATCAGGTAGGAATTACTATTGTTTAATGAATACTTTATGGATTCTGTAAAGTAATTACATAGTGTAATTAAATTATTTGAAATTCAGTTTCTAACTTTGTTTCTTGAATAGACTTAATTTGATCTTTGGGTAGGGAATAAGTTTCTTTCAGCTAAGCCCTCTGTAGGCAGAATAGAGAATATGTCATTTGCACATAGGTGGCTTGGGACTTCATGGGAAAGAAAACCAAAGAGCTTCCTTGTTTTGATCTATTCTCTGTTTGATGGCTTGTGTTCAGCATGGGGAAGCTACATAATTGCCATCAACTACTCACTAAATTAGCTTATTTGAAAAATTTTCCTAGAGTTTATTCTGCAGCTGTTAACAGTAGACTTGTAGGGAAACAATGCTTGTGCTCAGTTTCACAGCAGGAGTTTCTGTTTACCTCAGCCACGCAAGGACATGCTCCTGCAGACAATTCTCCAGGTATGGGGACTCAGCATAAGCTAAATATTTGCAGAGGCTGATCAATTAGCTCTTACTGAGGCAAACTGACATGGAACTCAGTGACCACTTGGTTATTAATGTAGCACTTATTATTTGGCCACTTCTGGCCCTTTTCTCATCCTCTTTTTGGGAGAATTCAAGCAGAGACTTAAATAATTCAAAGATTCTCAATATTTTTGTGAATTTTACTGGGTGAAAAGTAAATGATTTCTATCTTGGATTACGTCTGAGTCTTTCCTGTTGGATAGCAGGCCTTCTCAAGGACATCAATTTTCTTTTGCAGCAATTCCATTACAATTCCTTAGAGGACCCTGTTGTGCCACAGACAACAGCCTCTGGCCCAGAAGGTCACACAGACCACTGGACCTCTGCACTAGTTCTGTGACTGGCTTAAATGGTTATGAAAATTAACCAGCTCTGTATTTACTGTCTTTTAAGGTAAAAGAAAACTTTATTTAGGAAACCCAGAATAGGAGCTCAGGAAATTACGTAATTGAAAGTCCCTACTCACAGAATTAAAGCATGGGCACAGGTTTGGAAATGGAATTAAACATATGCTCCAATGTTTTAGAATTTCCTTCTTTTCCTGCGTGGAATTATGAGTCAGCTCTGAGTCCTCACAGTGTGAAGTGTTTGAATCTGAAGTCTCGGTTCAGGTCCATCCTCTCACTGTGCTTAGAAGTAAATAAAAAAGTTTTCATGACTTATTGAAATGGTTAGGAGGTCTGAGCCAGCAGTTAAACAGTCAAGGTCTGAGTAGATCACAAAATGTCAGAGAATGAACTGCATTTCTGAAGGATGGAACCAGCAGCAGAGGGTATTCACTCTCTGAGGAGCTGACCACTTACTTACTGCAAAGCCTACACCTTCACTTCCAGAAAAAGGAGTGCATTTAAAACACTTCAATATAAACAGCCCAGCTTTTTCATGGAAAATTAAATAATCACGCTTTAAGGGAAGATGGCTTCTTTCATTTTTTTTACCTTTTTTTTTTTTTTTTTCTTTAAGAGTTTTAAGTAGGCAGCCCAAATGAATATGTTCTCTAATTCAAGTCTTAAAAATGAGACTTTGCTCAAGATGGACCATAAGAGAATGCAACCTGCCAGCTTAATTAAGTTTCTGGAAAGCTTCTGGGCAAAATTAATATATGTGGATGAAAGCCAAAATCAGCCTGAGTGAACAGATTTTAGCTAGCACACCACAACTCTGAGAAACATAGGGACCTTAAAGTATGCAGCCTAGCAATATTAATTACAGTGGTTAGAGAACTGTCTATCCTTTTTGTGGATGCCAATCTGCATTTATTGTTGTTTATGTCCAAGCCAATATGGTTATCAGAACAATCTTAGAGTTAAATTAAAAAATTAGAAAATGATTTGCCATCATTTTCTGCTTCAAACTCTTATTAAACAGCAGTTGATGAAAATAGAAAGCTAGATTTACTCAAATAGCCTGAGTGTAAAACTGAATTAGTTCACAATGCAGTAAAGGCCTGTGATATTAATGTCCTTTATGAACATGAACTCCTAACTTGGCCTTTATCGTTCACTAGAAAAGGATCTCTGCATTAAACACTTAGTCTTGTCAGCAGGCACTGTTCCAGAACATTTGGAGCCTTTAGCAGCACTTTGCGTAGGCTGCATTCACTTGCCACAAAGAGAAGAAAACACAAAATTTTCTGCTCTTTGATCCCCTAGTTCTTCATGTCCATGCTTTGCCATGGTGATAGCTCTACTGCAGTTCTGTGTACTCCACTGCTTTAATTTGCAGCATTGAAATGGAGGTAATGTGGCAAAGATAGGTCACATAACCACAGAATCTGTGAGTTGGAAGGGACCCACAAGATCATAAAGTTCAACCCCTGGCCCTGCACAGGACAGCCCCAAGACTCACACCCTGTGCCTGAGAGTATTGTCCAAATGTTTCCTGAGCTCTGCCAGGCCTGGTGCTGTGAGCACTGCCCTGGGAGCCTGCGTTATCTCAGCAGAATCAGAGAGCTCATCCTGACGTCTTTGCTGAAACCAGACCCCACTTCCTGCAGAGGGAATCACCCCAGGAAGAAGGTCAGGATCAGAACACATTTGTCTGTTGCATATTTCCAGCATGTCATAGGGCAGCTCTAGTGAGCAACCATGGGAAAATGCATACACTGAAAACACAGGATTGCACTGTGTTATATGCACATGGGGGTAATCTGAGAGAAACCGATTAAGTCATGTCAATGCAGACCATTCTGGTGTTTTAACTGCCCCTCTGAAGGAAGGTGAATATTGCCAATCTCCTGTTCTATGAAATGTTTCCTTTTCCGTGAAAAGGGCTTTCACAAAAGCTCTGCTTCTCAGTGTACAGTGGCCTAGGGATGCTCTGAAATGCTGCCTTGCTGAGACTGCTTTCACCAAACCTCTCCTGGAAAGGTGAAGAGGCCTTTGAGTGACACCCCCATGGAACTTCTCCAGAGTATTTTTGATGATGAAGGTCACTTAGAAAATTTCTTTGAAAACATCTTGGTAGCAGAAATTGTATTTTTTTCCGCTTTTCCTTTGAATTGTGGCTACCAGTAAGAACTTGGCAGCCATCAAATTCGAAACAGTAACAGATTGACCCAATTTTCTCCTGTTATCAGTAGGCTGTAGTGTTTAAAAGGTAACCACCCATGAATGGCCTGCTCCTGACAATTCTGCCCTGTCACCCAGCAGTGGCAGAGCCTTGTTCAAATGAACCAGGTAGTTTCAAAACAGTAGAAAACTGGAACCTGCTTTCCTATCTGATATAGTGCTTGCTTGGATTTTCTAACATCTTAGTAATGGGCTCTTAAGTACTCACTGTCTGACAAATGAACACAATAGAATCACAAAAATTTCCTTTCCTTACAACATTATGCTGAAAGTATGGGCCCAATTGACCACTCTGACAGTTCAGCAGATTTAGTGGTGCCAAATTGTTCTGCAACTGACACAGAGAAATTTTGCTCAGATTTATAGCTGAACAGTAAAAAGGCTTCAAATAGGTTTTGAAGCAACAAAGATATATTTTCCTTTCAAAGCCTTGTATCACCTTCTGGAGTACAAAGGTAATACCTGCACATCATGTCAGATCCCTCTCGCTTCTTCTGGGCATTAGTGTATCAATTGTTATGAATAATATAGGAAGGATACCTGTTTTCAAAGAAGTCTATAACAAAACTCCTACTGATTTCAAAAGGAAAGTCCTCTCCCTAGGCTCAGAACAACCAGCTATGGCAGTACCCTGCCTACAGAATTTACTAACACATTTACAAATGTATATGCACAAATACCAAACCCGTGACATTAATAATAATGTGAAAAAAGAGAGCCTGGTATCTCATAATTTCTAATCGAATTTCGTTAAGATTAGTGGCACTTTATTTTCCTTGTGTTCATGTCACAGTTGGTTTTAAATCATGTCTGTTATGTAGTCTGACAATTTTTCATGTGACTATCTTCCAGGAAGTAGTATAACTGAGCAGTAAACTATTAGCAAAACAGGTGTTGATCTATATAGAGTTACATGTAAAAATATGCTCTAAATCTGGTTATTTAGATACTTTGCTTTTAATTTGAGACTCTTTTTACTAAATCTGGTTATTTAGATACTTTGCTTTTGATTTGAGACTCTTTTTAAGAACAGAAAGAATTTTCAACTTGGTCTCTTCTCACTATGCTGTATTTTAAGGTTTTTTTTGATTAGTGAAACTAATCAAAATGAATGTGGCATTTCATAACAGCCTACGTAAAAAACATGTAACCTCAAGACATAGGGGCATAACAGCCTACGTAAAAAACATGTAACCTCAAGACATAGGGGCAAATTAATTTAGACAAAGTGGAATAATTTATCCCTGAGGTAAGTTGGTGGCAGTAAGCCAGTCACTGATTTGGACCATCATGTCTTCTATAGCTTACTTGGAAGCTGTTTCCCTTTGGAGCTGGTTTAGTCCAGGTTGTGTGAAGTGCCCTTGGGATAACTGCTCTCTGCAGGTTTTGAGGCTCGTGGTCCATAATTCAGCTCCAGTAATGTTCAGGATTACAGCTTTTGCATGGGAGATTTTACTAACTGGTTGAGACAGCTCCACTGTTCTTAATCCTTGTGAATATAAATGGATATAAATATTAGGGAATACATTCTGCAGGGAGAAATAGGCTTCAGGCACAACAGTCACAGTTATAAAGTATTAGCAGTCTTCATGAGAGAAATGGTTCTCATTTTTTACGTACACTATTTGTGTGCTTCCTCTTCCTTTGAAGTTAATTTTGCCTTTGATTTAAATGAGAACTCTATGGAACATAGACAATTTTATAGACAATTTCAGCCAACACTTTTTCACATTTCCTTGCTTCATGCTAACAACTCTGAGCTTCCAACACTTTGAGCAAGCCCTGTAACATTTCTTTCTCCATCTCTTGGAAGCATCATTTATGCTCAGTGGCTTATATGCAGTTGGATGCACGCCTTTAATGGTCCATGTCTGAAAGTTCTGAATTTTGGACACAGCTTAGATTCCTGCCATGTTTTTAGCCCCAGGAAATTGAAATGCTGAAATTCAGAATAGCCAGACATTATTCTAAATGCACTTCTAAGGTGATGATAGAGCTCATATTGTTTCTCTGGAAAGCACTGATGTTTCTACTCAGTCAGAAAAGATTAAATATTGCCTAATAGTTGTAAAGTTCTCTGAAGGTGAAATGTGCTATACAAATGATACATTATTTATAATACTACTACAATACGCCTCAAGAAATAATCATGGAGCTTAATAAGAAATTAATTTCCCCTAGATTTTTTTTTCAACATCCCATAAAAGTTAATAGAAAATTACAGTCCTGTACTCAGAGTCTAACATAATGATGCTAAAGACCTATAGGAAGGACATACTGCTCCCTTTACAAAATCATATTTAAAAGTTCCTATAGAATCTTACAAGTTTCATCTCCATTAAAGTCTGTAGGATTTAGTTTGCGGGTTTTTTTTTGGTTTTTTTTTTGGCTCTTGTTTATTTTGTTTCTCAATATACAAAATGAGAGTTAGTTTTTCTTGTGCTGTATCTGTTTTTCATGTGCTTTCTGAAATTGCCAAACCAAAATATTAATGGATTCTTATGGTCTACAGAACAGCAGTATTTGCAATCAGACTTCTACAGACAAGAGATTTCATTTTACCTGTCATTTCTGGCACATCAAGAGCTGTTACAATGTGTTTAAAATGCATTTACATGGGGTTAGTTAACACAAATTATTTGTAGAACCTTTGATGCCAGTGTTGCTAAGTGACATTTTGCTAGTCAGCATTAGTCTCACATTTTCACGAAGCATAAAAGCCAATATATGATTTTTTTTTGCTATAATCTCCATTTTTCTATGTCTTCTCTTTTTGTATATGTTTCTATTTTATGATTCCTTGACTGTTTTCTCCACTTCTACTTCTTAATATGAAAATAATTTATCAACAAAATGTAATATTGAGAAAACCTTTTATTACATTTGTAAAAAAAATCCAAGGCAGTAAAATATCACATAGAAGATACTGTTCTAGCAAAGTTTCATCTTCAGGACTGACTTCATGTTGATTTGCTCTGACAGATTTGCTTTTCTTTAACCAACCCCAAATTACATTTGAAATTCAAGGAATTGGCTGAGTAGAATTAGGAGGAGCTACTTTACATTTCTTATGAAGTTGAGGGACTACTAAGCATTACTTCATTAATTTCAGTTCCTTGTGAAAAGTCACCAGCCTTGAGACTGTTGTCACAGCAAAGAATTTGAGACGTACAAATACTCAGAATACCCTGTGGAGAGAGAGTTTCTATACTTTGCTTTTATGGATGTGTGGGGGTCTATCAACACTTCTTTTGCCCAGTTTCAAATAATTGAACTTTACCCTCAGTAACCACTTCCCCAGAGCTGTGGTGCAGCAAGGCCTGAGAGCGAGAAAAGGGAAAACAAAAATAGTCAAAGCAGCTTTATAAGGAATGTGTTGTGGAATTTACAGATTAACTAATCCCGGCACTTGCCAGTCAGTACAAAGAGCCCTGTCTCCAGAAGGGAGGAATGAGCCTGTCACAAGGCATTTCCAAAGGCTGTGAGGAGTCTGGCCAGAGGGACACGGTGGGAGCAGGGCTCTGCCCGGGCTGAGCTGAAGTGTGGGCCGTGCTCAGCTTCTCATGCAAGGCAGGCTCTGCCTCAGGCAGGATGAGCCTGTGAGGGTGTTCTAAACCAGGCCGGTTTGGGTTTTTTTCACTGAAAAGTAAACTCGTTTATTAAAATAAACCACGAACGGCTGAAAGCGAGGCCCTGGGATAAGCCCAGAAGACAACACCAACAGATCAGATAAACAAGAAACCTGGTACAGCTCGCACCCCACCACGGCTGGGCGCTCCTCAGGACCCGAGCTCCGTCAGAACAGCGAGCGGACGGTTCAAGCAGCCTTTATCCCCTCGGGGGGGCTGGGATTGGTGCCTCCTTCAATCCTGCTGCTGATTGGCTCGCTGTCAGGCTGCCAGGCCCCTCATTGGTCTGTACGGACAAACATCCTGAGCCAATCATTGCCGATTCTCCCGCTTCATTGCTCGGTCTTTCCTCCAATCAAACTTGGAGGTGCTGCCTTCCTCCATGACATTGCTTTTCTAGAACATTCCTCCTATTCAAATTACCTCCCTCCTCCCACATGGACCCAACCAGCCATTACATCCTCTTATTCTTTGTACATTACACGACTGCCAAACCATAGTACCTTGTAACCTCAGCCACCAGAAATTAGTTCATTTATAACATTAACCACCAGAATCTAGTTCATTTATAACATTAACCACCAGAAATTAGTTAATTTGTAAGAGGGGCACAGCAGTGAGCACAAAGAAAGCCTGCATCCTCCTGTGGGTGTTGTCTGGAGCTGCTCAGGGCAGGGAGCTGGTGGCTGAAGGGCAGTGGGCTCGCAGGAGGAGACCAGAAAGGGCACAAGTGGTGCAGGGAGATCTGGAGCAGCCTGTGGGCAGCATCCTCACACCCTGCTCTGTCCCCTCCCTGCGAGGGTGTGAAAAACGAGGTTCACATAATTTTTATAGAATTTAAAAGTTTAATAAAAAAACAATTAGGAGAAAAAAATAAAGTATACAGATATGGCCGGGTGTCTCTGCATTCAGCCAAGAGAGCACACCTTATTAACAAAGGATTGTCCCTTAAAAACAGAACCCTACTACATATCCATAAATTCCCATACATATTCATACATTCTTCTTAGGATCTTTGGTGTTCTTCTGTTTAGTTTTCTCTTGCCCCCTTCCCAATAGATCAATCTTCTTGGCACCATTGAGATTTACATTCTCTGATACCAGGAATGCAATAAATTCCTCCCCCCAGAGTTCTGGTCTCTTCTGTCTTCATCTGGATAAGATAGTTTACAAATGCAGGAGTTCTCTAGCCATTTTTTCCTTAGTCTTTGGGCTATACAAACAAAAGCAGTTTTTATTTTAATACTATGCCATAGCCTAACATATATGTATTATACTACTATTTCTAAATTTCATCAATAACAGAAATAAAGAAAACTATATTAATAAAACAAAATTTCTCATTCTTATATACATAACATTCATTTTAATATTTGCAAAAAGCCAACAATATAAAATGTATCTATAACAAGGGGGAGTATGGAGGAAAGAGACAGCTGTCCTCTGACTGCTGAGTAAAGCCACAATATTAAATATCTTTATTAAGACAAGATTTTCCAAAAAATTTGGTTTTTGACCAGTCAAAATTGTTATGTTTCCTGATCTTTCTCTGCAGCAGGCTCGTGGGCAGCTGAAATTCATTCACAGATTTTAATCTCAAGGAAATAAAATCGTTTTTTCTTTAGAGAAACACTCTTTGGCCCGTGTTTCCTTTATTCTTTTACTTTAAGTTATGATTTTGCTTATTGCGTATTCCTACAATTCCTTCAGTCTTATTTAATTTCTCATGTGTAATTTAGGAAAATCTCTCATATGCAAATAATGTAACAAGTGCAAGACAAAACATGACTTGTGCCATTATTGAAAGGCCTTGTCAGTCAAGAATGCTTGTGCTTTTATTTTTTTTCTGAAAGAGCTGCACTACAACAACAATTTTGTAATTTTCAACAGGGAGAGATTTTTCTTTACAGAAGCAGCTGGGAAACCAGATGGAACGTCTCTGCTTTTTTTTTTTTTTTTTTTTTTTTTTTTTTTTTTTTTTTTCTTCCTTCTTGCTTTAACTAAGTTCTCTGCCATTATAGTTGGTTCCTTTCCTTGAGAAAAAGATGTGGCTGTTTGTTATATTTCAGCGTGAGAATTGAACACTTCCTCCTCTTTTAGAAATTCCTGTTGTGTTGCAGAGCTTCTGGGTCAATGCTGAGTTTGTTCACCTTTTGGAACAAATGCACAGTGTTCCATGTGATACCAGATGGTCACAGAGGATGTGTGTAGGAAAAAATGGGAGTCAAATTTTGATTGAAGAATACTCCAAACTGACCTTTTTTTAGAATAGGCTCTGAATCAAGAAGTATATCCCGAGCCTTTACCTGAAATAAAATGATATCTCTCTCTCTTCGAACCATTTTGTGGCTTAGAAGATGTGATTTGACTTGTTCCACTTGGCTCCTTCAGCTCCCTAGCAAAACAGAGGGAATTGCATTTCAAGAGTATGCTCTCATTCAAATAGTTTCCACATTTTCTGTCTGCAGAACTAGCACACCATTTTCAGTCTGAGCCACAATTTAAAGTTTATTTTTCTTTTTGATGGTACCAGTTCAGTCGTAAGCCTTTCATTTTCCCCCTTTGATACGTCAGTGACAATTTGGAAAACAATAGTGTGTGTATACACTTACCTGTGCTGGTGAAACTAAATAGTACCAAAGTCTCAATAGTGAGTATTTGTGTCTTATTTAGAGCTTCAGGTATTTCTGGCTCTGATATTTCTAACTTGGATTTGTTGAATCCCTCTTTTCAGTCTTAATGGGCCACATCTGTAAACATGCAGTTTCCTGATAGAAGTGCCTCCACTGCTGTGCTGGTTTTACATTAATTGATACTGGTGAGGAGGGAAGAAGCCACTCACGGAAATGAGCCAACTGTAAAGTCAAACTGAGAAAAATCTTCCTTCAGAATCTTAAAATTTGATCAAAGTGTAGAAGATGAGAAGTTACTGCTTAAATAATTTAAACTCTATTCTTCTATTGATACAGTTCTGCAAGAAACAGACATTTCTGGTAGTCTTTCATTTAAGATGTTTTCCCCTGTGGAACTCTTAATTGTGCAACCTGTGAGGACGTGATTTTGCTGATTTTGATTCAGCTCATATAATTTATTCTTCATAGCAGAGGATAGCTCCCATAATTTTGAAGAAGTACTATGAAAGAGCATCCTCACTTCACATCTTGCAGTGCTATTCCGGAGGGATCCTTTCAGAAGATATTCACTCCTCTTTGCCTGAGGCATCAATCTTAAAAGTAAATTAATAAACAAATATAAAAGTAAATTAATAAAAAAATATTTATTGTATCTCAATAATTAGCTTTAATTATCATAGTCACACTAATTCTCATGTCCCTTTTCAAGCAACACTATCACCTTCTCTGGCCTTTTAACTGCTATCCTGTTAAGTATTATGTCAACCCTTACAAGTTATTCCAAGACCTCCTCTTTTACTAATGGGTTATTTTCTGACATCACCATGACACTGACACAAAATAGCCACCAGTGCATTCAGCTGTGATCTCAGCAGATGGAGCAGGGGTGGTTAGGTTAGTGGCTGATTTCTGTGTCCTGGCAAAGAGCTTTGGAAAATACCCCCTTCCTTTTTGTTGATCAGTTTTTGATTCCATCATTTCAATCCTCATTTCTGGGTGATTAACCCCGTGAACTGATGTGCCAGTGTGGCTATGCCAGGTGCTTTGTGAATGTGTGGGTGCTTGTGGTAAGCACCGCTTGCTGTCTGTGGAGATCTGACATTTCTGTAGGACAGTGCCACAGGTGGGACAAAACTGGGACATTTGGAAGGTCTCCATTTGTTCTGCATTTCCACACAAAATTGGATGTGAGGGGCAGCATGCTTCGAGCAGGGTGTGGGACTGTCCTGCAGCTCCTGAGACACCCCAGGGGTGGCTCCTGTTAGACCCTTCCCTCAAGGGAGCATTGCTTTTGACCATTAACTCCTTAGCAGAAAACAATGCAAAAACTCATTCCATGCCATCAAGGACACCACTCTATCCAGAGTCAGAGCATGATGCTTTTTCTTGAACTTGACAGAACTGAATCAAAAGCTCATTCACTGTTGGTTAATCTTGCATCTTTGTCTACTGAAGTCAGTATCCTCTCCCCTTTCACCAAGGCCATCAATGTTTCAGCTGCCTGGAAACATGCCAGGCTGTGTTATCTCTTTTTTTTTAATATTTTTTTTTTATTTTGCTGTGGAAGGTGCAGATGGCAGGATATTTATTTAGCTTGACTGATTTAAGAGGGTGCAATATAGGACATAGGGCTTTCAGTTTTGCTGTTTCAAAGGCAGAGAGCGAAACAGCAGAGATGCTGTTCTGCTAGTCAAGGCAACTTACCAAATACCATCCGAAGATAAAAGGATTGCTGACATATTTGAGCAGAACAATATGTCTTGGCATTGCTCCTTGCCCCTTGTTTAAGAGCCAGATGGTAAATGTTCCCTTGCCAGGGTTCTATGTAGAAAACAGGCGAGTTATTTTGCTAAGGAAATGGCAGGCATGTCAGAATCAATAGCCTTGGAAAGCTCACAGTACGTGCCTCCTCCTGACAGATCGAGGGAAGCCGAGAGAGCGGTGAGCTGGAGCAAGGCACTCACAGCGAGAGGTGATTTTGTTCTGCAAGCAGGGCAATTTCCTAACGACGCATTACACGCTTCTGCCTTCTGTTTAGTGCTCAGAAGGAACCGCTGGAAAGTTGATCACAGCGCTTCAAACGTCTGTGGAGTGTCTGCAGGCTCACAAGGCAGAGGCAGTTTGGCATTGCTCGCACCTGGCTTGGGGATGGAGCGCAGCTTTTCACGGCTCTGCTGCTGCCTGCAAAGCTGCTGGTTGTTTCCGTGGTTTATGGAGGTGTAATGGTCAGACCCATGGAGAAAGATTCAGCCGTACCTGTCTGAACTCGATGATTTTGACATGAGATCAACAGCTTCACTGCAGGTCAGGAAAAAAGTGCCAAGGGCAGCCCAGCTTAGAAGAACTTCCCCCTTGTGTTGTACAAAAGGAAACACAGGAAAGGTGGAATAAACCAAAGTGTAGAGGCAGAGCTGACATTTACTATGGCCAGTGGACAAACACTGCATTGGGAATTATCCATGCTTTCCCCACTAATATAAACACCTGATAGATTTACGTTGGCTCCAATCTGAAATTTAACCAACTTCTTTAAAAGAAATT